CCCGTAGGGAGCCCAGGCTCAGGCTGGCCGTGTCTCTGCAGTACCTGGAGTCCGTGCACCCCCTGCTGGAGGAGGAGAAGTACCGCGAGATGGAAGTCCTGGCCCAAGCCTTCCAGCAGCACACAGCCCCCAGGCTGCAGAAGTACCTGGTCCTCAAATCTTGGTGGGCAACCAACTATGTGAGTTCCCTGCCGCTGTGCCGCCGAGTGCCCGGAGCCAGCAGCCCTCCCGCGCCACTCTGCTCCAGTTCCTGCCTCTCCCGCCTTCTCCTGGGTCCCTCCCCAAAGCCAGGCTCCGGAGCCTGGCGGGCTGTAGGCTCTGGGGGTCTGCGATGCCCGGGCTGGCCCGATGCGGATGGCAGGGCGCGGGAGCTGGGCGGTGGGAGCTGGTGGTGACCCTGCTTGCTGGCAGGGGCTGGCTCCGCATGGGGGACAGCTGCCCTGGGCTTGCCCCGGCAGTACCCCCCATCCCGTTAACCCCAGGGCAAGAGTGGGGCTCTCAGGCCTGTGACAGGAGCTACAGCCCGTCTGCCTGACACAGCCACGCGGCTCCATCTGCCTCGGCTCTGCCTGTGGGCATCAGCGCTGGCCGTGAGGGTTCACCGCCCCCCTGGCCCCGCCGTGGGCAGCAGCCACTCCAGCATCAGTGCAGCACGAAGCGAGGATGGTTGGTCACTCCCCAGCCACCCCGCTTGACTGGGACAGGGACAGTGGGGAGCTGTGGAGTGGACAAGGAGGTCGGAGGCTGGGGAAAGGCTAGCACAGGCTCAGAAGTGACCTGGTGCTGCCGGAGTCCATGGGAGCCCGCAGGCCCCTCCCAGGTCTAACTGGCACGGCAGCATGGCAGCATGCCCAGTCTGTCGGGGGGGGGGCAGCAAGACTCAAGTCCTTGTGAATCAGGGACCCCTGGCCTGCTCCCCCCTCTCAGGAGCTTGGGGGCTGCGGGAGGCAGTGCAAGGACACAACCCCGCATGTTGTTCCCAGCTCCTCCTGCAGGAGGCACTCACAGCCCAGCTGTCCCAGGAGGGGAGGTGGGCACCTGGGACCACCCGCTGGGACAGGCCCTGGGGTCCCACGGCCTCAGAGGAGGCAGAGGCAGCGCCATGGAGGAGTCGGGCAGGCCCCTGCCAGCCCTGGCCTCTCCCGCTGACCTTGTCTGTGCTGCTGCTGGGGGCTGCTCGCGCTCACAACGCTCTCCCGTTGGCAGGTGAGCGACTGGTGGGAGGAGTACGTCTACCTGCGCGGACGAGGCCCCATCATGGTCAACAGCAACTACTACGCCATGGTGAGGGCGCAGGGCCGGCGAGCGGGGGCTTCAACCCGTCCTCTCCAAAGGGCACCCGGTGGAGCGGCCAGAGACACTGACCCCCTTCCCCAGAGGAGCCCAGTGTGTGGGGGGTCACCCCTGCTGCTGGGCTGGGAGCTGCACCCCCAGAGCCTGAGCAGTGCTGGCTGTGACCCCCGTCTCTCTCCACTGCCCAGGATTTCCTGTACGTGACGCCCACCCCCCTGCAGGCAGCTCGAGCCGGCAACACCGTGCACTCCATCCTGCTCTATCGGCGGAAGCTGGACCGCGAGGAGATCCCCCCGGTGAGTGTCTGGTCGCCATGCCGGGAGGGGCGGGGGGCACGGCCTGAGCTGGGCGGGGGGCAGGCAGGGACCGTGGGTGAGTCCCCTCTGTGCTGTGCTGCTAGGTGATGGCGCTCGGCATCGTGCCAATGTGCTCCTTCCAGATGGAGAGAATGTTCAACACCACCCGCATCCCCGGGACGGAGTCGGGTACGTGGCGCGGGGGGAGGGGGGGACAGGAACCGGAGCCGCTGCTCCCTCTCCCCAGAACCAGACTCAGAGCCCGTCCCCCCGCGGCCTGGCGGCTCTGTTCCCCCAGGGGGGCACCCGGAGCCCGTCCCCCCGTGGCACAGCGGCTCCGTTCCCCCAGAGGCGGTAGCCGGAGCCCGTACCCCCTGGGCACGGCGGCTCTGTTCCCCCAGGGGGGCGCCTGGAGCCTGTCCCCCCATGGCCTGGCGGCTCTGTTCCCCCAGGGGGGCACCCGGAGCCTGTCCCCCCACGGCCTGGCGGCTCTGTTCCCCCAGGGGCGGCACCTGGAGCCCGTCCCCCCTGGGCACGGTGGCTCCATTCCCCCAGAGGCGGTAGCCGGAGCCCGTACCCCCACGTCACAGCGGCTCTGTTCCCCCAGGGGCGGCGCCCGGAGCCTGTCCCCCCTGGGCACGGCGGCTCTGTTTCCCCAGGGGCAGCGCCTGGAGCCTGTCCCCCCTGGGCACGGCGGCGTCGTTCCCCCAGAGGCGTTGCCCGGAGCCCGTACCCCTGGGCACGGCGGCTCTGTTCCCCCAGGGGCGGCGCCCGGAGCCCGTACCCCCGCGGCCTGGCGGCTCTGTTCCCCCAGGGGGGCACCCGGAGCCCGTCCCCCCGTGGCACAGCGGCTCTGTTCCCCCAGGGGCAGCGCCTGGAGCCCATCCCCCCATGGCTCTGCACTGCAGCTGGGCTCTTTCCCAACACTCCCAGGTGCAGGGCCCCGTGGGCCCTTCGTTACCCCCCGAGGGCTGCCATGCAGGCCCAGGGTGCAGTGAGCAGTGGAGAAGGTGACTGTGGCCGGTGCGTCTCCTGCCCGCAGACACCCTGCAGCACCTGTCGGACAGCAAGCACCTGGCCGTCTACCACAAGGGCCGCTTCTACAGGCTGTGGCTGTACCAGGGCGGGAGGCTGCTGAAGCCGCGGGACCTGGAGCTGCAGTTCCAGAGGATACTGGACGACCCGTCGCCCCCGCAGCCTGGGGAGGAGAAGCTGGCAGCACTCACTGCTGGAGAAAGGTGGGACCCAAGGAGGCAATGCCAGGGGCTGGCGAATGGGGCACTGCCAGCCTTGGGCACCAACCCTGGGGAGCTGAGAGCCCCTGGCCTGGGAGATCGCCCAAGTGCAGGCATGGCTTAGGCTGGGCA